TCCGTGCAGCACAGAGACCCTGTTTGTGGGGGGTGGGGGGGAGCATAAGCGAGGGTGACTCTGGGGCCTTTCGTCCACCCCTGTGACCCTAGCTCTTCCTGGCCATCACGTCCTCATCCTGAGATGACGTCCCCACACTCGAGTGCTGGGCACGCCAGTGACACTGGAGCCTTGCAGATGAGGCTGGGCGTTACTCCCCACCTCCAGTCACCTGAACTAGTGCTCACACGGAAGCCTCTGGCACAGGTGTGTCTTCTGTGGTGAGCGAGACACCAGCAACATTGATGCTTCTGTTTCCCCCGCAGGGTGAGCCGGAGGACCTGTTGTTCTTCTACAGCCACCTCAGAAAGGGCGGCGGGGTCATCCGCGTGGACCAGAGCCTCCTCCTCTACCGCTACCACCCAAACGCGGCCACACACTCTGTCCTCGAGTATGTACGTCCCAGGCTTCCAGACCTGGTCTGGGGGCCACGAGGGGCCAGGGTTGAGCATGAGGGGCTGAGGTCCAGGGTCAAAGGTGAGGGGTTAGGGTCCGGGTCGAGGTCCAGGGTTGAGCATGAAGGACCAGGGGCCAGGGTCGAGCGTGAGGGGTCAGGGTCTGGGGTTGAGGGTGAGGGGCCAGGGTCAAGCGTGAAGGGCTGGGGTCGGGGGAGAGGCCGGGGGCCAGGGTGGAGGGTGCAGGGATGGCCAAAGTCTAAGCCAGGATCAGTGGGGTAGACACAGGTCACCTGGGGTGGGTCTCTACCCCAGGTGAGCGTGGCCGGTGTGGGTACACAGAGTCCGTGGCCTTCATGGGGGAAAGCCGTCCCAGGGTCTGTGGTTGCGGTTTCCCCAGGATGAAGGCCACGTCTGTCCCCTTTTTCACAGTGAGGTAGAATCTTGCGTACGTGTCCCGTTGAAGTGTTGGTCTCAATTGCCGTGAGCTGACGGCAGCCTCCCAGTGAGCCTGGTGCCCGTCTAACTTGGCTACAGGCGGGCTCATTGTGCCCTCTCTGCCCCCACCGAGGGGGCTGCTGTGATGGCATCTGCTCGGCCCCATGTCCCCAGTGGCCGGCGTGTCCTCGGGCGTGTCCTGCCCGGGCAGGAGGGGTGGAACGTGGAGGAAGGCGAAGCGAGGGAAGGGGCGTCTTCTTGTTTCTTCGGTTTAAACTGTGCGTGCATGGGCACGTTTCTCACAATTACAAGTGTGTGTCCCCTTGGTGCCTCACAGTTGTGACACTGCTCACTTTTGGGAACAGGGTTGGAGGAACTGGGCCCTCGGAATGCGAAGAGCTTGACCCCGGGGCGTGTTCCTGTCTTGGAAGCAGTGTTCACTGTGCTTCCCTGCAGGGTGTGAGAAGGCTGCAGCTTCTCAGCTGAGCGGCCTCGTCTGGGGAGGTCTGCCATCCACCTACACAGGGCGCGTGGTGCCAGTCTGTGTGACAGTCACGTATGGGGCCCAGGTTGCAGTATCCATGTTGACTCGGGAGGTCAGGCGTATTGTTGCGTGTCGAAACTTCCGTTTTCCGGCTTTCAGCAGAAGAGCTCGATTTTGGTTGTCCTGTGTTAAATCTGAATTTTTATATAATAGCTTTGGTGGGGCATCATTGTTTTGGGTTTATTGTCATGAAGCTGACTCTGTGCCAGTGTGATTTACACCCAAGGGGAAGAGGTCATGTCACGGGACAAAGCACCAGATGTGTGTGTGTCTAATCACAGTCTCCACGTGAAAAACCCCAACAGAAACAGTCCGCAGCTACAGTTGGAGGTTTTGTGCCACGTTCCAGTGACTAAGAGAAACAGGGAAGTCTGCCAGGGTACTGGAGTCACACTGGTAACCTTGACCTGACTCGGGACATAACACTCGACCACAGAAGACGTTGTCCCTTTAAGATGCAAGATGGACAATACTTTGGACCAGAAAACAACTCTGAATCAATTTCAAATGATTGCAGTCATACAAGGTATGTTTTATAACCACATAGAATTAAATTAGAAATCATTAACACATCCTAAAAGTCCAAAATACTTGGAAATTAGGCAACCAAGGGGAAAAAAAAATCACACAGGAAATTAGAAAAAAATTTAATTTGATGAAACTAAAATGGTCACAATTTATAGAATTCAGCCGGAGCACACAATCCACACATTTGCCATGAACAATTGAAAACACAGTTAAGGCATCTGTGTGGTGGCCCCGAACATAAAATGCTTGTGGGTGAATTTCACAAGGTGTGTGTACGTCTGCAAAGTCTGCAGGAAATCCAGGAAACCCTGTAGGGCGGACGCAGGGGCGCCACCTTCGTGGTCGGAAGACTCAGTAACATTGGTGCTCATTCTTCCCAAACTCGCGGTCCCAGGACAGGAGCCTGCTGGCTTCTTTGTGGAAATTGGTATCTTGGTTCTGAAATCCTCGTGGAAAATTGAAGGACCCAGAATGGCCAAAACAGCCTTAAAAAGAGCAAAATTTGAGGACTCACCGCGCTAGATTTCAAGACTTACTCTGAAGTCTTACACGGCGGTCAGGGAACAGCAACAGCATTGAGAGAGACCAGGGAAACAATCCAGAAATACACTCAAAATTGTATCACAGATTGATTTTCAACAAAGTCTCCAAAGGCATTCAGTGGAAAAGGAAAGTATTTTCAACAAGTGGAACTAGATATTCACATGAGAAAAAAAAGAAAGAAAATCACAGACCATACAGAAAAACTAATTCCAGGTGGATCTTAGATATAAATACAGAAACAGCTAAAGTAGAAAGCATCTGGAGCAAACACTAGGGGACGTCTTCACAACTTCAGGGCAGACAAAAACTTCTCAGGATGTGAGAAGCATTCACCATTTAAAACTTCATAAAGTGGACTTCATAAAAATTAAAAACCTTTGCTCATCAAGAGACACCGTTCGGAGGCTGAGTGGCAGACTGCATTCTGAGAGGAGACGTTCACAATCCATGTATCTGAAGGGACCAAATGGGAGGCACGTACAGGACCCCGAGCACCCACGAAGAGAGGCAGAATACTTCAACAAACACAACATTTCACAAAACAATACCGTGTGATACATAAATAATGTAAACCCACTACACATCCAACAGAAGGGCTAAAGGTAATGTCTGCCAATTCTAAAGGGTGAAAGAGTGTGGCTCTACCAGAACTGTCATACTCTGCTCTCAGGAGTGTAAAAGTACATTCTCTCTGGAAACCTGGCATTCTTTAAATTAATTAATATCCCCGGTGCCCCAGCAGTCCATGTGTGTTAGGCAAGAGACGTGAAAGCATCGTTCAACCTATCGCTGCTGATATAGCCAAGAACTGGGAACAACCCAAATGGCCATCAATAATTGAACAGATAACCACTGATAGACACAGGGACCGGGGTTAATGTCAAAGCAATATGGTCACTAAAGAGGCCAGACACAAAAGATGCTTTTGTGGGATGGTGCTTCCTGGAAGCGCTCCCACCAGCAGAAAGCATGCTGTTCGACACCACAACTACTCCACAGTGGGGGGGGCATTGCCGCTGGCGTGTGCACGTGGGACTGGATCCAGCGTTTGGTGACAGTAATTAGAACTAGATAGAAATTAGATCCATGACATAGGGGACATTGGGAACCCCCCCCCATGCCATCAGGGCTGGGACATTGGGAACCCCCCCACGTGCTGTCAGGGGTGAGACATTGGGAACCCCCACACACATGCCGTCAGGGGTGGGACTCCACCACATGCCATCAGGGCTGGGACATTGGGAACCCCCTGCCCCCCACGGCCATCAGGGGTGGGACCCTCCCCATGTGCCATCAGGGGTGGGACGTCGGGGCTCTCCTCTGTCATCATCGTGAACGTTCCCATCCATGTGTCCTCACCTTAGATTCTCAGAGGACAGGGGAAAGGGATCTCTCTGTAGGACTCAGTGGTGGCCCACAGTGTGGCAGGAGCCCGCGTGTCCAGGAAGGACCAGCTGCCGGCCACTGGGCTTTGTCCCCACACGCCCTCATCTTGTTTGCATGGGATCACTGTCTTTTATGTTGAGAGGTTTCTCTCTTTTTTGCAGCGTGAGGCTTTGCCACCCACAACACAAAAGAAGTGATCTCATGTTAGTTTCTGTGTTGGATTAAATGCTTTGAGCTGTGAGTGGCAAAACCTCAGAGTAATGAGCTTTAATTACACCCTCGGGCTTGTCGGGAGTTGAGTTTCCTCAGACTCTGCCCAGAGGCCCCCCTGTGAGAGCTCTCCCGGGTTGTCCTTGTATTTTAAACTGGGGATGGCCAGCGGTTACCTCATTGGGCAATTTTCATCCTATTTCCCGCAGCCACCTTCCCAGCCCCGCGGCCAAGGCCAGCACGGTGGGTGCGCAGCGGTCACGCCTTCCCCCGCGTCTTTCCACTTGGACCACATGCAATGGCTCCCTGACCGCACGCGCTGCCCGCTGCCCTTCCCGCGTGAGCACCACCTTCTCCTATGGCCTCTCTGACCCAGCGGCCGCCCGGGGACAGGAAGGCCATAGCGCGTGGGCACGTTCTGGTCTGCGGGTCGCTGGCCATGCTGCTGCGGGAACTGTCCTGTTTTCCATAAGGCACGTGTGTTTGTGACAGTTTCTAAATTGTATCATCACGTGCCGGCATCTCAGGGCCCCGGACACCTGAGCAGACTGGAGGTGCGGATCGCTCCTCTGCGTGGCTCCTTGCGCTGCCTCATCCCTGAGCTCCTGGGTTGGGGCTGGGGCACGTCTTCAAACGTCCACAAACATGCTGGGGCATCGTGATAATAAGTTTATTTATTAGAGAGCAAGTCGGGGAAGGGGCAGAGAGAGAGAGAGAATGAATCCCAAGCAGGTTCCAAGCTGTCAGCACAGAGCCCAACGTGGGGCTCAATCTCATGACCCTGGGATCATGACCTGAGCTGAAATCTAGAGCCGGACATTGAACCAGCTGAGCCACCCAGGCGCCCCTGCCCTCCAAATTCTTAGCGATGCTTTCACGCCTGTGATTTAGGCCCTTTTCACGTGTGACCACATTAAACAGGAAACAGCTGAGTGTGCCAGCCCCCCACCCCCGTAGTGGCTGGGCCTCCAGTCTGCTTGTAGCAAGGCGCCTACGGAGGGGTCCCCACGTGGACCAGGCGGGAAGCTCCCGCAGGAAACCTTCACCTCCAGGCGGCTCTTGGGACATGCCCAGGCTCTTGTGCTCGCCTGAGCTCACCTGACATTGGGGTGGCTACGTCCTCTCAGGCTCCCCAGGGTCTGTGCCTGGTGTCCCTTGGGTCCATGAGGACGCGGCCCTGAGAAAGGCATGCGCCACTGGGTGTGAGGGTGGGTGAGGCAGCGTGGCCCTTGTTCACCCTTCATTCCTTCAGCCAATGCCAGGTAGGGAGGAAGGTCTGGGGACAGCTGGGGGCCCCGCCCACGTGGTTCACCCCCCCCCCCCCCCCGTGCCCCCACAGGACCACCATCTGGACCCATCGCGTGCGCTTTCTGGAAGAGCGGGCGCTGCCGCACTGGGCCACCTTCACCATCTGGAACGCGGGCAGGCAAGGCCGCCGGCTCTATCGCAGCCTGACAGCCGGGATGCAGCGCAAGGTGGGTCCCCGTCCCCCTCACCGTCCTCCCCCTCCGCCCCACGCCTCCCACCCTCCCCGTCCCTGAGGCTGGTGTCCTGCACCCCCAGGTGGTTGCTTTCTGTGACGTGGACGAGAACAAGATCAGGAAAGGCTTCTATTGCCATGAAGACTCTCAGGTGCGTGGGGCCCAGGAGCCCCTCCAGGGAGGGCCTGGGTCACACACGGGTCACCACCCCTACCCCACCAGGAAACAGAGCAGCCAGTGTGCAGAACCTTCCTCCCCGGGGAAGGCCGCCTGCAGCCACACAGCTGCCAGGCCCAGCACAGGTGAACCCATTTCCTGGGCGACTCGGACCCCAGAGTGACCAGTGTCCCTGCCTGGCCCATCTTCCCACTGGAGGGCACCTCAGGGCCGGACAGGGGTGTAGGCTGCGGGGCGGCCACAGGTGCGCATGTCTGGCGCGTCAGGGCGTCCCGAAGGCCAGCACAGAGCCGAGCCCACAACGCCTCTCCTCCCTCAGGAAAGGCCGAAGCCTCGGGTTCCGATCCTGCACTTCCGAGCTGCACGGCCGCCCTTCGTCATCTGCGTGAAGCTGGTGAGTGTCAGCCGTGGCTGGGCTCCACTGATGACGGCGTGGCTGGAACAAGGCCCCAGCTGTGGGATCAAGACGTCTGACACGTGGCCAGGCATCCAGGCCCTCGGCTTGGGCCACCTGTCTGGAGCCGTGGTCTCGGGCCAGGGGTGGTGACCGCTGTTCTCGGGGGTCCGCTGGGGTGTTGGGAGAGGCTGCCATGGTGCCTGTGTAAAATGGGCTGCATTTCTATAAAAGCAACGTTTTTTGGAAACCTGCTCAGTGCCAGGCCTGAGGCACCTTCCGGGTGCTGATCGGATGCTGTGGCAGAGACGAAGGGTGGAAGGTGGTGGAAGCGTCCCTGAGACACCCCTCTGACCCAGCACCGTGGTCCCTGTGCCCAGGGCCGTCCCGAGAACTCTCCCCACCACATCCTCCCCACCCCCTCCGCAGGGTCCCGGGGACACGGGTGCCCGCTTCTCAGCTCCGGCTTTGTGTTGGGATCACGCAGCGGGGTCCTGGGGACCCCGGTCTGCTTGCCCGCATCAGGCTGGCCTGTGAATCTACTTGCTGAAATCCGGCTGTGAGCCCTGGTCACATCCAGCCTGGCAACGGCAAGGGCACAGTCCGGATGTTCTCATGCCTGGAGACCTAAAGGGTCTTGGGAGGCCCCACCCCCAGCCCCCACCGCCTTTGTGAGACTTCCAGCCGGCTCAGCCCGCCTCTCCTGCCAGACGTGCCCGTAGGGCCGCCTCTTGCCTTGCTGACCTCCAGGCACTCTGCACAGACTCTGGTGCCCGTCCTCCGTCCGTTAGAGCTGCAAACATTTTCTCCCACGTGGGACTTGCCTTTCCATGGAGGCTTCCAGGAAAGGTTACTTCCCACACGAGGACATTCATAACTTTTCTCTTACAATGAACACCTGTGTTCCGTGGAGGAAATCCTTCTCCGGGGTCGGAGAGCTGCATTCTCACTTGTATAAATATACATGTCATCTTTCACATTTGGATGCTTAGTGCACCCCAGCTACGGGGCCAGTGGGCTCAGGTGGGCGGGACGGGCATGCAGGGCCCAGTGCTTGCTCCGGGGGTGGGGGGGGAGGGTGCCACGGGATGGACGGGGACACTTGCCACCTCTTCCAGCAGCTGCCAGCCCGTGAGGCTGAGCTGAAGGCGCAGTAACCAGGGCACCAGGAGCCTTCGTGGAGGCGCAGTCCGTCCTGCTCTGAGCCTTGGGTTCAGGGAGGGGGCGCCCTTCTTCCCCGCTGGCTGCTTTAAGACCCTGTGCGGCCAACATCTCAGGTCGGGTGGGGCCGGTGGCCCGGGGAAGGGCTCCCAGGTGGGGCTGGGAGCACGGCTCCAAGGGGCTGGACTCTGCCTCTTGCTGGAGGGGCCATCCCGAGTCCCAGCCTGTGGAAACTGCCAGAAGCAGACACGTGTTGTCCCAGGCTGCTGTGCCGGTGCTGACCCGTTCCTCAGCGACAGATGACTCACAAGGTGGCGGTTAGAGCCACGTGGCCGTGAGCCTTCCTGTACAGTTTGTGCGGAAGCGTGTCCGTCTCTCGGAAGTGGGGGGTCACGGGGTCACCGTGTTCAATGTTTGGGGAACTGCAGTTTTCCACAATGTGGCACCATTTCGCGTTCCCACCGCAGCGCAGGGGCACCAGCGTCTCCACGCTGTCCGCTGGCGGTGGTGTTCCAGCCGTCCGGTGGCTGCTAAGCGTGCGTGGTTTTGATCGTGCGTCTTCCTGACAACTGATGATGCCAAGTCTTTGCAGCTGCTTGTCGGCCGTGCAGGTGTCGTCCTGGGAGAAAGGTCGGTTGGTGTCCTTTGCCCGTGTTTTATCTGGGTTTCATCTTGTCGAACCGGAGTTCTTCGTGTGTTCCAGATGCAGACACCCTCTCCTGTTCTACAGGTTCTCCTTTTTCTCTCTTGACGGGGTCCTTTGGTACAAAAAGTATTTCATTTTGACAAAGTCCAGTTTATCTGTTTTTAACTTAGTTGCTCATGTTTTTGGTGCCACAGCTAAGAAACCACGGCCAAATCCAGGCCCGCCAGCTTTCCCCCTGCATTTCCTTCTACGAGTGTCATGTGTAGTGTGCAGATGGCAGCCGGCCCCGTTCTTGGGCACATGGCAGTCTAGCTTTCCGTGCACCACGGCTGCGGCAAGCTCCTGTCCCCAGCTGTCACCCAGAGGTTTTGTCCTGCTTGTCTGTTTGCCAGCTTGGCCCTGTTTATTTACTGCTACGTGGTGACAATCACAAGCTAGCCCCACACAACACACGCTTCTTGCCTCACAGCGTCTGTGGTTCAGAAATCAGGCACCAGAGGTGGGGCCCAGAAGCGAAGCTGCTGGTGAGGTGCCAGCCAAGACGCGGTCACATGGGGAGGCTTGCCCGGAGCAGGGTCAGGACTGTTGGCAGAAGCCAGACCCTGGAGGATGTTGGACCAAGGGCTTTAGTGCTTTGCTGGCTGTTTCTTGCCACTTGCCCCGCCCCCACCCCCATCCCCACCCCCTCCTGCAACGTGGCAGCATATTCTCTCCAAGCTGGCAAGGGGCAGGGTCTGCTAGCAAGACGGACCAAGTCACACAAGTGACGTCCCACCCCTTAGCTGTGTCCCATGGCAGGTCCTGCCTGCGCTCCAGGGGAGGGGGTGACACAGACCCACCTCCGCCCACCTGGCGTTGGGTTTTCTGGTTTGAAAGCAGTTTCCTAAAAGGAAAGAGGCTGTTTAAAGCCAAGGTAAGCAAGGTTCCAAGTCGCCAGGGAGACTGGATGGATAATTATAAGGTTGTACAGGGACACTTCGATTCTGCACAAATGTACACGTAATTTTTCAGAGGAGACGAGCTCTGCTAAGAGTCTACTTCTCTGGGACCAAAACTGCCAGCAATTAGAACGCTCCCCACAATGAAAACCCCTCCTGGCAAGCAGGCTTTGGGTGGGAGGTGAAGCTCTTTTCCCATCCCCTCACTCTGTGTCCCTGGAGGGACCCCCACAGGCACCAGTTTCTTGTATTTTCGGCCAGAGTCAGCCAACACAGACACAAATGTGTGGGATTTCTCTAAGCAAATGGCAGCATGTTATACATACTTTTTCTGTATTTTGCTTGTTTTACATGATGTATCTTGCAGATTATTCTATATGAACCCGCTGGTACCATCTATTACCTTTTTTTTTTTTTTTTTTAACGTTTATTTATTTTTGAGACAGAAAGAGACAGAGCATGAACAGGGGAGGGGCAGAGAGAGAGGGAGACACAGAATCCGAAACAGGCTCCAGGCTCTGAGCTGTCAGCACAGAGCCCGACGCGGGGCTTGAACTCACGGACCGTGAGATCATGACCTGAGCCAAAGTCCGACGCTTAACCGACCAAGCCACCCAGGCGCCCCAGACTGTTATCTTTTTTTTAATGTTTATTTTGAGACACAAAATAATGTTCATTTTGTGACACACGGGAGCAGGGGAGGGGCAGAGAGAGAGGGAGAGTCCCAGGAAGGCTCCATGTTGTCAGCACAGAGCCCAGTGTGGGGGCTGGATCCCAGGCTCCCCTGTGGTCGTCTTTTAATCAAGCAAACTTCCTAGCACATCTCAGCCTTATCCCCAAAGCCCCAGGAAGCCAGCCTCATTCAGCCATCCCCACTGTTCCCGTGTGGTGTGTCCCCCATGTGGCTATCCCCCCATTTGTGTCCCCGTGCAGCCGTCCCCCATGTGGCATGTGTCTGTGTGCCATGTCCCTGTGCAGCCTCCGTGGCCGTTGTGGGTTCTGTGCTCCCAACTCCCCCCGCCCCCAACATTGGGAAGCAAATCCTAAATTCCAACGTTATTTCCCAAGAAGATAAAAACCTTACAAAATTTACTCTGAGACAGAGATGTCACACCCAAAATTCCCCACACCCATCTGGTCGGAGGTCCCCGGCTCTTCCGTGGCTTGTCGGATCCCACGCTCACATCGGGGGGCACCTGCGTGTCTCCGTGCGGCCTGGGGCCCAGGGGTCACACACGCTCCCTCTGCACAGGCGGGAGGCTGGCACGGCTCCAGCCTGTGCGGCTCCAGGGGCGGTTGCCCCTCAGGGGCCCCCCACCACCCCTGCTCCTGTCGGGGGCTGGACGAGTTCCGGGAGGAGGAACCCCTGGGGATTCGTGTGCGTATCCGCACACTGTTCGCTTGTACGGAGGTTTCACCCCTTATCATCCGGTTAAGTCTCAACACACCTTTAGACCATTTTTATCATTTGCTATCAAACATACTGGTGCAGTGAATATATACGTGGAATTTTGCTCTGTCCCAGGAGGGGGCGGTAACATTCGCCCCCACCGGTGACCCTCCCTGCCCGCCCCCTGCAGCGTGGCCAAATTCCACCATGTTTTCACATCATGGGGGAAGGTCTGTAAGGCCTTGTTACGGGTACGGAGGGTGTCTTTCCACAAGTTTAAAAGGATCTTTATTTCCCTTTTGGTGAATTATCTATTCATCAGCCCATTCTTCTATTGGTCTGTTAGTATTTTCTTTATATGATGACAAAAGCCTCTGTGATAGGTCTTGTGAATTTTTCTGTCATTTGACTTTATTTTTGCCTTTTAGGAAAATTTGTTTAGATATCAAATTAATTGATTTTTGTATGGCTTTTGGAGGTTTATTCGTTCTAAGACATTAATTCCTCAATGTGAAATTTTAAAGCACATTCTCCAGGTTTGCTTCTGAGATTTCTGCTTTTTACTTTATCTCTGACCACTAGGATTTATTTTGCTGTAAAGATTAGAGATTCAAGAGCACCCGGGTGGCTCTGTCGGTTAAGTGTCTGACTCTTGATTTCAGCTCAGATCATGATCTCACGGTTCAGGAGTTCGAGCCCTGCATCGGGATTCTCTCTCTCTCTGCCCTTCCTAACCCCCAATACACACACACTCTTAAAATAAATACAAATTTAAAAATAAACTAGGGACTCAAAGTTTTCTTCCTATTTGGATGCCCACTTGTCCCCAAATAATTTGGGACTATTTGGGGAATTCCTATCCTTTCTAATAATGAGACACTGTATTTTTATGTTGGATCTACTTCCGGACTCTTGGTCTACTACTGTCTGTGCACCAGCACCGTTAATTCCTGGGCTTTATGGTATTTACCGTTTAGGAAGACAAGCCTTCCTCCACTCTTCTTTTTTTTACAATTTACCTCACCATTTTCTTTTCTGGATAAACTTTTTTACTGTGAACTACTAACACATTCAGACGATGGCCTACACATGGCCCACCACCTGCTTTTATGAATAAAGTTTTATTAGAACACAGCATATTATGACCACCAAACGGTCAATGTTACTGTATGGCCCTTTAAGAAACACTGCAGACATCTGCTCTAGAACGTGCTGCACAGGTTAATGTTGTGCCCAACAAGTGGCCCAACCCACGTCAGAAAAAAGCCTTCCCGCAGAGCTGCCCCGATGCACATAATTTCTTTGCTAATTATTCTGCCGTGTGTGTGTGTGTGTGTGTGTGTGTGTGTGTGCAACCCCAAACCATACGGTCTGATGCTGTTTCTGTAGTTTGTGCGAAGGAGACTAAATGTGCTGTCACTCCACATCACCTCTGAGGCGGACTGAGCGCCCTTTCTTGTTGCCTTGCGGCACTCAGCCGTGTGAATGTCACACGCCCGTTTCTGGGTTTATCCAGGAGTGGAAGTGTGGGTCCTGGACTGCACCCCCAAGGTGTCCTGTCAGGGCCAGCTCCCCGAAGCTGGGGCTCAGGAGGGGCTGTGGCTCTCGCTGTGGTTTTAGCATGCGCATCTGAGTGATGAGGCTGAGTGCCTCCCTTCTCTGGGATGCTTCTGATCGGGCTCCCCCAACTTGGTGGGGGCAAATCTTCCCCTGACAGCTTGTAGAAGTTCTAATGTCTCTGGTTCCTGATCCTTTGTTGGTTATGTTAATTTACAGAAGCGTCTAACTTCAGTGGCATCTTGTTGAGAGGGAGCCCCCTCCTCCATTCCTCTCTGGGCCATAGTGGAGCTTGGCTGGCCTGAATACAGGCGTTTCCTTTGAAAGCTCAGGGCGCAGAGATTACGGGGAAGGGGGCGGAGCTGAGAATGGACAGCAGGTGGAGGAGAGTGCAGGAATTTCGGGTCTTTCCCATTTAAGCATTTCTAGCGGTGCCCAGTGGTCAAGGGCGTGCATAGCCAGGCTGACCCCCATGCTGGGCCCAAGGACAGAGGAACGGGGTGAACACTGGGCCCCTTGCATCCGGCCAAAGGCCTGTGGCATCTGGGACAGGCCACCAGGTGAGGGACTGGCTGGAGCCACAGCTGTTTCCCACTCAGGGAGCATGCGGCCTGGCCAAAGCCAACACAGGCCAAGCTGAAGCATTATCAGCTCTGGGGTCATCTCAGGGAGCTCATGGGGCCACAGGTAAGCCCTGGATAGAGACTGACTCGAGGGTCCTCTCCCCAGTACAGGGCTGGGGCCAAGAGGCCAGAGGGGTCTGCTGACAGCTCCTGGAGTCCGGGCTGGGGCCTCTGCAGCAGGGGCAGGGCATGGACGCGGATACGTGGAGAGGGAAGCCGGGTGGCCTGGACCAAGGGGTGAAGGGGACAGCTCCCTTCTGCAGGGAGGGGCCAGGTTCCAGCTCGGGGGGGGGGGGGGGGTGTGCCTGGGAGGATCCCCACCCCCACCTCCCACCAGTGACCAGCAGGACTTTGTGGCCAACTCTGGCAACATCCCCACCCCGTGTCCGCCCCTCCCCTCTTAACAGAGAAGTTCACAGCAGAGCACCTGGCAGGCAGGCCCCCTTGGGGGGGATCTGTGGGTGCCACAGTGTGGGCCGGGGAGCCTTGATTGAGCCAGACTTGCTGTTCCTCCCACAGGACCTCACCGGGGGCGCATTTGAGGACAACCTGCGGTCGCTACACCTGCAGGAGGGCCGGGACTTCCTTCACTTCAGCTGAGGGCCTGGACAGCTGCCTCCAGGTGCGCCAAAGGCCCCCAGCAGCCACAGCCCAGGAGAGAGATCGAGGGCGCCAGGGAGGGTGGCCAGTGGTCCCAAGAGGGAGCACGCCAAGCGGGAGGTGGCACCAAATGCGTGTGGGGCTGGCCCTTCACCTGGAGGGCACGCGCCTGTGTTTCTAACCAGGGTGTGGTGGACACGTGGTAAAATGAGGGGCCGTGAGCACACGGCCTGAGGAGCGTGTCCCTGACCGTCTGTGGGGCGCATACTCTCCTCTGCCGCTGGGGGCCCTGCACCGCCGTCACCCAGCGTGTCTGTCCTGCCAGGAGCTCGTTAGCTCACGCTCCTGACGGACCCTGTGCCACGAGGACAAACGCTGCTGGGGGCTGCAGTCCGGCTGTCTGTGCCGATCTCAGGCCAACCCAGGGGCACGGTTCCCGTGTGACTCGGTTAGAGATGTGGAAACACAGACCAGCAACTGAGAGCGCAGGCTGTGTGCTCAGAGCTCGCGGGGCGGTGTCTTCCGGTCCCGTGAGGTGGCAGAGACTCAGCGTGGGAAAGGGGCGCTCAGGTGGCCCGCTGGCTGGGGGAGCACGTCTGGCTTTCTCTGGTTGGTCCTTGCTCGCAGGAGGGGCCGCTTAGGGGGGCTGGCAGTTCTCAACCGCATCCTGGCAGCCTCGGGCTGCTGGCTTCGGGGTTCGGGGTTCTCGCTTGGTTTCCTGAACTGGCTGCCGCAGGCCGTGGGCGGTCTCGCACCTTGTCTCTCAGCTCCGGGAACCCCAGTGCTCAAACCCAGGTCGAGAGCAAATCCCATCAGCCGTGAGCGACCAAGTCGCCTTTCGCTGCAGGTGAGGGAGCCAGCTTCCTCTCTGCCTCCGGACTCAAGGCCGTTGACATGCTGCCTCGTCAGCGACTTCTGCCGGAGGTAGTCAGGAGCCTGCGCCGAGAGCTCCTACGAGGAAGGCCGGGATCCCGGGCTCGCAGGGTCTGTGTTCCGAGTGCAAAGCTCGGGAGGACCAGCATCCTGCCACAGTGCTCAGTGTCTTCCAGAAACATGTCTGCTCATTATACTGCCTACCTTTTGCTACTCTTGTCTGTTTTCAAATTCTACTTACTCCCCACATTAGCCATCATTCGTTTTGTGTACCCGGGGTCACTGTCTGCTGACCGTGCCTCCCTGCACAGAGACGCTCGGCTGCCCACGCTTCACCCAGGGTGTCACCGCCGTCCCCTTTTGTCCTCATTCACGCCACCGCGGAGGGCACAACCACACAGGGTCCCAGCTTGGCATAACGTCCTACCCCCAAGAGGCCACCACAGCGAAGCTTCGCCACCAGTGTCGGGCTGGGCAGACACGGATACTCAGGATGCAGCTGCTCACGGGGACTGAGCCGTGGCCGTGTGTACACGTGGCCCCGCCAGCCCCCCTGCACGTTCCACCCCAGGCACACTGGCTTCCTGCTCCCCAAGCTCACCAGATGCTCCTCTCTGTCGGGCGCCCACCTGCTCGCTGCTCCTTTGGAGGGTTTCCCGACCGCTTCCCTCCAAGACAGCCCAACACACTGGCCGTCGCGTGTGGTTCCGGGCCCTGGAGCTGCTGACCGGGACGGTCCACGTTTGCTCCTGGCCACACTCCCTAGTTGTGAGTGCACAGAGCCCCCGTCTTGGATCCGTCACCCGGACCCAGGGGGGCTCCAGAACCTGCAGCTGCACGGAGGGTGACCCCGGTCACCTGCGTCCAAGTGAGGGTGACCCTCAGGGTCCGATGTGGCCGAGGGTGAGCAGGGGCGCTGGGCCGTGTGCGGCCCGTGGTCCGTTCGGCTTTCCTCACGCTGGCGGGTAAAGAGCTCTGAGATGCAGGGCCTCTGCGGGTCTGTGTGCAGCGACCGGTCTCCGTGTGTCCAAAAGGGCCCTTCTTTGGAATCTCGTGGATTTTTAAACACAAGAAACAGTTCATCTTCTTGTTTCTCAGAAGCCGCGTGCTGGGTTTTCTGCAGCCAAGGTCCAGACGCTGCTCTGCAGGGCCGGGCTCCCCACCTGCCATCCTCCGGCCCCCGCCAGCAAGGGGTCCTCTAGCTCGTCCCCCTCTGGCTGGTCCCCCACCTATGATGGAGTAAAATGGGAACTCCCTACTTACTTCAGAGAAGGAGGAAGCACGTCTTAAGGCTCGAAATACAGTGAAAGTTACTTCCCAAAGTAACATACGACTTTCCCTTCCAGAGGGTCTGACGGGACGCCGTCAGGGGAGCACACAAGGTGAACGTTCCCACATGGTGCTTCGGCCCAGGCAAGGAAACCACTCCCGCTGAAGGACGCAGCAAAAGCACCTGCCGCTCGGCCCCCGTCCCCGTGCGCGCCGGAGAGGGCAGCTGGCTCCCCGGCCCTGACCCCGTCGGTCTTGGCACGGGGCCCCGACCCCAGCGCGGCCACCGCCTTCGCCTCCGGTGCGGGCGGCAGCTCCTGCGTCCAGCCCGCAGACGAGGCGCAGCCCCGCGAAGCGCCGTGCACACCAGCCTCCCTGAGGGGCCTGGGCTCTGGGGAAGACACACCTGGCCAAGGTGAGCGGTGCACCGTAGTGCTTCCCCACATCAACGGAGAACCCGAGATCCAAGGACACACGCTCGCAGGGCTGTTCGCTGGGTTCCTGACTCCCGACTCGAGACTCTGCTGTGGGGGCGCAGCCGGGCTCAGGCAGGACACTTGGATTGCCCACAACCGTGTGAGGGTAGGTGACCACGTGCAACGCCCACAAGCACCGGGCACGATGGGGTGAGGCAGAGGCAAGGTTGGGTGCCCACCCCTTGGCCGTTTCTCTGGCCCGTCTAGGGTTGCTCGGGGCCACCCTCTGCCCCCCAGGCCCCCGCATCAGCATCACACACAGAGACACAGAACTGCTCAGAACACGATTTTATAGACGGGGTTCCCGTGGACGTGAAGGCAAAAGCACCAACATCCCAGGGCACGTGTGAGGAAAAGCCACCGCCGCCGTGGTGACGAACTTCAAGTCCCTTTGCGCCGTGTCCAGCTGTCCCGTGCTGTCATCAGGCTCCTCCCCGCTGCCAGGCGGGCAGGGGGCCTCAGCGGGTGCCAGACTGTTGGGGACACGGCACAGGGTCAGACCACCAGCACCACCCCCTCTGGGCCCCCATTTCCCCAGCCACCCAGGACCCTGAGGCCGACATAACCCCAAGGCAGCGGGCAGAGGATCCCTGTACTTTTCCACAAACGTCCTCCACTGTGTGTGAAATTTTCCTAATAAAAGCATATTTACTTGGGAAGCTGGCACTGCGCTTGGCCAGCTGATTGCACCCCTCATGGAGCCCCCTGGTGCCCAACAGAAGAGTGGGCAGGGCCACCACACGGTGTGGCACCGGAGCAGATGCAGGAAATAACAATGTGATTCCAAGCCTGAAGGAGGAGAGACTGGAAAGCTGACAGGACACGGCGAGGAGAGGGGTCCCGCCTGGTGCCGCCCTCCCGCTCACTGCGTGCTCTCGCGGCCCCTGCTAGCAGAGTAGCAGCCGTACAAGTGGGGGCTGTGAAGCGATAAACCCTTCAAATCCAAGTGAGGCCAAGAGAAAGAAACAGATCAAGCCATAACCAAAGGTCATAGATGTAAACCCAAACCCATAACCACACGTTAAATACAAGGGGACAAAACTCCAATTAAGATACTCAACTGGATTAAATACAGAGAAGACCTGACTACCATTTTTAAGAGACCCGTTTAAATGTAAGAAAGGAAATGGTATAAACATCCAAAAATCTAGTGCAGTTGGGTTACCCCTAAAGTAGACCTGAAGGCAGGAAGCACTTTTATAGATAAAGAACATTCCGAGTGACGTCACTTCTAACGTGTCGCAATATCGCAAAGAAGAGAACAAGGTGCTGCGCGTTCTCGGCCTGTCAGAGAAGAGAGGCCGCCCCTCTTCTCTCTCTTCCAGACAAGAGGGCTGGACTCGGACGCGGGCAGACCCTGCCGGGAGCAGAGACCACTGGGCAGAAGGCACGCCTGATGGCCAGACTCTGTGGGCACCATCTTGGGGGGACCCTGGGAGCACCAGGCTCACTGGTCATGATCCTGGAAAGTCCCCCACACTCTGGGCATCTCCCCTCCAGGGAAGAGGACTGCCAGAGCCCCTGGCACCTGCAGGGGCACAGGGGGACAGAGCTGCCCCACGGGAGCCCATGGCTGAGGTCTGCTCAGATGACCGCAGACTGCCACACAGCCCACCGCTTCCCCGGCAGGGCTCCAGGGCCACGGCCATGGGTCCTCTCTCAGACTCCGATGCTCCAAGGGGGACGGTGCGGGGACACCCAGGTCAGGGCACGACGTGCCGGAGAAGCTGCGGCAATACTGAACAGAGGGGCCCCTGTTAGAAAGACGCAAACCTCATGATCCTGAGGCCCGAGTTCCTGTTACCAGCACAATGGGTCTGGCTTCCAACAAAAACTTACAAAACACACCAAGAGGCGAGAAAAAGCAACTAGGAGAGATGGCACCAACATCTAGACCAGACTCAGATACGGCAGAGTTGGGATAATCAGACCAGGGCTTAAAACAAGGATGACTCATGTGGCAAGGGCTCTGCTGGGGCAAGCGGGCACCACCAAGGACTGATGGGCAGTGAGAGAATGAAAGGACACACCAGAAATCAGGATCATGCTTACAGAAATGAAGACGGGACACGGCCAGAGAAATAATCTGTGAACCTGAAGACTGGTCGATAGAAACTTCCCAAACTGAAATGCTGAGAAAAAAGGATGGAAAAACAGAAGAGAGTATCCAAGACCACAGGGCAGTTCCAAAGCTGTAAAACAGAGTCCTGCATACTCAAGGCCACGAGACTCTATCACAGACGTCTATTCTCGCCAAGTGGACCCAGAGGTTCCAAGTGACCTCGGCCGAATACCTGGCTGATTCCCTGCTGCAAACTGATGACGATTCCGCAGAGGTTTCTGAAACCCAAGGGGACTAAGAGTCAAGATGGTCTTGGAAGA